TTATGAAATAACCATTCTGAGACTTAGTATTAATTGCATACTCTTTGGTCCATTAGTTCAAGCTTCTTATTAACTAACTCTTACATTTTAAATTAACCCATTTCTATTAATTTATGTTTTACCATGAGGGTTATGGTTTGTTATCTCTTGCTTTTTAGGTGGCTGTGTGGCATCTGCCTGACTCAACTTCCTTTCTCCCTGCATTCAGTTTAGTTCTCCCACATAGCTATTTTCTGCCCTGCCATAGGCCAAAGCAGCTTCTTTATTAACCAGTCGGGGAGGGGTGCAGTCTGGGGTTATTGTGCAGATTTTAAGGCATGTTAGTTAGCAGTAGATAGCGTCTTTCCTAGGGTTCCTAGTTTCTGCCTAAAGGCATTTTTAAATTAATGTTCCCTCTTCCCAAATGATTCTAGCTTGTGTCATCTTGACATAAAACTATGCAGAACAGTTGACCCCTTGTCAGTTTGACACAAAACAGATGACTATTCAACTACAATATTTTCTTTTTCTTTTATCCACAAGATGGCATGCTAATATTCATATCACAGTATAGAACATTCTAACATAAACAATTCAACAACTTTTAAAAATTCAAGGACTTAAAAGTTCTGTGTTTTTAAAACATCTAAAGTTGCTTTCAAGTTCAGAGTTTCTCTAAAATATCCAAAGTCTCTCTAAAATAACCAGAGTCTCTCTAAAACTCTGTAAATTCCAAAACATCTTGAAAACTTCAAAGTCTCTCAACTCTTGTTTTTTTTTTGTTTTTTTTTTTTAAATGAGTTACATGCATTCTTAGTCCAAGAAGGAAGAATCATGGCAGTCAAATGCAGAGAGCATAGTTCAACAGTGTACCACTAAAAGTCAAGCTTCAGTGACTCACAAACTTCTAGGCTCAGAAAGGCTTGCCACAGCACATAGACCATGTCTTGAAGATTCAGGCTGGCTCTGCCCCAGGGCCGCTGCCGTCCTTTTCTCATGTCCAGTGGTGCTGGCATCTCCAGACTGCTGGAGCCCCTGAGCTGTGTGCCACCTTCACCAATAGCCTGTCCCGGGTTCTCTTTAGAGATTCTAACTCTACCACATGGTGCCAGGCTTCAGATGTGCTCTATGACCTTTTCACACCTTCAAAGCTGGTGTCACCTGGAAGACTCTTACACATTACCAAATATGGCAGCCAGTACAAAGTACAGACTTGGCTGTCTGGACCCTACCATCTCTGTGCTGACGCTGAGGAAACATTTCCCTGAAGACTCTCCTCATTGATGCTGGTCTCTTCTTCATCACAGCTGATCCTTCAGGCCCAGCTGACCAGAACCACAGATTATTAGACTATTGACACGTTGTGATTGAGTCTTTCTGGGGCTCTAACTTCCCTCTGAAACTTGGCAAGTTAGGCTTCCATCGTCTTCACCGCTCCAGACATTCTTATCTTCCAAGCTTCAACATAGTGCCAATTGAGCTCTGAGCATTCAATGGCTTTTCCAGCCCAGTGTTTAAATGCTACCACTGTCCTCCCAAAAACATGTGGTCAAGACTATTGTGGTAGGTCCCAATACCTGATACCAATCATCTCTTAGGGCTTCTATTACTGTTATAAAACGCCATGACAAAAATCATCTTGGGAAAGAAGTGAGTTCTTTAAACTTATAGCTTGTAATTCGTCATCTAGGGAAATCAGGGTAGGAACTTGAGGCAGGAACCTAGAGGCAGGAGCTGAAATGGAGGCCTTGGGAGAATGCTGTATACTGTTTTCTCACAGGCCAATATTGTAGGGGTATTTCCTTAATTGAAGTGTCCTCTTCCCAAATGACTCTGGATTGTTTTAAGTTGACATAACACTAGCCCTACACGCCAACCACAGTTAACTATAACCTTGAGCTGTGATTCAAAATAAACTCTTCTCTAAGTTGCTTTGTTGGGTCTTTTATACCAGCAACATGTCAGTATCTAATTCACCTCCCGTAGGTCCTTTCCTAATAGCTGTATGCATAGTTCTCCGGCAACATGGGAACTCACTTCATGCCAACAGGAGAATCGCCTTCTCAAAGAGAGTCCATAGCCTTTTTCTAGAGCCTCACCTGATTAGAATAATATCAGTCAGGACATTCCTAACTGCAGGTTATTTGAAGAAGAGCTCTAATTACATTCACAGAATTTCTTCATAATTAATGCAACAATGCAACCCATTACAGTGTTAGCTCATTTTATAAATAAGGCTGGACACTGTGAGGAGCAGAGTGTTAGAACCTGCTTCATTATCTGAGAATTGTGCCTGCCACCTATTCATTACTTAAGAATGGTTGACACACACACACACACACACACACACACACACACACAATTTCCTACAGTTGCTTAAAAAGTTTTCTTTCCCCTTTTTAGAGAATTTTTCAGTGTTTCATATTTTTAATTTAAATATAAAAATTTGATACCAATTATGTGAGTATAGGGTATCATATGGGACCTTGATTAAATTGTCTTAAATATATGTAGCTCAATCCTCATTTCTTTATAGTATAAATATTGAAAATCCCTGCTCTAGTCTTTTGAAATAAGCAGTGAATTATCATGTTATAACCACCTACTGTACATACCCGATCTTCTTACTCCTATCCCACTAAACTTTAGTACCCATTGTTGAACCTCTGCTCATCTCTTCCTTTCCCTCTTTCCTCAGCCTCGGTAACCACCATTCTGCTTCCACCTTCTGTGAGTTCTGCTTCATTGTAGATGCCACCTGTGAATGAAATCATGGAATACTCACACTCCGTGCCTGTGCTTTACCATTTTCCTGGGGAGACAGATTTCTGTTCACCCCAGCTTGGGTAGCTAGGACAGACCAAAGAGCATATAAACCAGGGGGTTAATATGGTCACATATAGGAACACGGGTGAGGAGCTCCCCGCAGTAGCATGGACAACATATCAGTGGCTACATCACTGAAGAAAATATTTCCTTCTCTCCCTTAACTCTCTGTATAAGCTCAAGAAGAAGGCATGACCCTGTGAGAACCTGTTTCCATTAACAGTTAACTGTCATTAATTTCTCAGGGAAGGATAGGGCTTGTTGAGTCCCTCTCCTTTCTGTGATGGAAGGTTAGGATTCAGTTGTACGGCAGCCCATTGGGCAATAATTATAGTTAGTTAAACTTCCCAGGTCACAAAACATAATTAATTAATTAATTTAAATACCTGAAAGCAGATAGGACACTAGTTGGGAAGAGAATGGGATTTGGTGGGAGGGGGACAAGATACATTATATACCTCTATCAAAACCTCCCAATAAGACCCATTCTTATCTATATTTAATATACTAGGATTCACAGATGAGGAAAATGCATTTTGCTGTGGGATCTAGGAGAATAGAAACATTGATTTGCTTAATAAAAAGATAAATAAATAGCAACAAAATTTTTGTTAAAAAGATCACAAGTTGTCCTTAAAGGCACCAGGCAGCTAAGCTAAGTACTATGTGTTGAGCTTCAGATGGGGAAGCTATTGGCTGAAGGTGCTCTCACAACGGTGGCAGGCAGACCTGGGGTGGAGTAGGCAAAACTGTCTTCAGGTGACATCACTGGAACACAAACTGAAGCTAAATCTTCTATTCTTAACAAACAGCTGAACTTTATTCTGTTAGCATGAAGTACCCTGGTAGGAACTTCAGAGGAGGTAAAAACGTAGTGTGGGTTTAGGAAGTAGGGGAAAAGTGGCATGAAGGTAGGAGAAGGTTGGGGGTGGGGAAACAGGGAGAAGAGTTCTAGCTGTAGTGTCAGTGGAATATAAAAGTTTGCATTGAGTGAGAGACAGAAGAATGAAAATAAATATTTCATAATATAGAGAACTGGACATTGAATGGACATAGAGAATTAGTGAGAGGAACTAGGATTAAAGCATGGATTGTACCAAGAAAAGTCCCAGTGTTTTAAAAAAATGGAGTTCAAGTTTAAATTTAATTATTAAGGGCAATTCATAAATAAACATGTCCTAAAATATCTATAGAACCATGTAAAAAGATCATATGCTAAAATATGGCCAAATAGTTTTTAAGCTATTAAAACATATTGCCAATATTCTTTTGTCAAATCTTTGAAAGTCTGGGTGTGAATTTATTGTATTAAATGTTCATATTTACAGTGTGTGCTGATATATACGAAGACATACTTAAACATGAATGTATTGGGAGAGTTTCTGTAAGTTGTGCTTACATATAGTTTTCAATATAGCATATCACATGTTTATATTACCGTACAATTTAACTTGTTGGCAACATCATTTTCTACTCCTAATTGGAATTCATAATAAGGAAGGATCTTTTCCTCAGAGGGAGCTCAGAATCATTTTGTGTAATTGTTCCTTGTGTAAGACAGCTATTTTATAAGGTTTCGGGGGGGGGGGGGGACATGGTGCAGCTACTCACAGAGTGCTCCGAGTTGTTCTGCTTGTACAATTTGATGCTGTTCTGCTGACTAGACTGACAAAGGAGAAGGACAAACATTAAGGTGGTATTTCTTCACTCCTTCTTAGAAACAGTCACAATGCCTGATTTAACAACAATATGCTTTTAAATGTCAGATGTAGGAAGTTCAGCGTGATTTTATCTCAACATTACAGTTAAGATGATCAATAATCAACCAAGTAGATAAAACTGAGTGAGTTTGTTTGCATGCTATTTATTTTAACTACAGCCCTAACAAGCCTCATCTGCTAATTGGACTTTGCATTTCTGTTGCTAAATGAGAAGTGTTTTGGCTGCTACAGAGGGCAGTAAGATCTACCCAGTGGAATACACACTAACATCTGTTCTCCTGTCCTGCTCCAGCTTGACTCCTAACAAGTACAGCCGCCCAGAAGTTAGAGCTGGCAAATCTGTGTTGAGCACGTCTGGCTCGCTCGTGTGTGTGAAACTAAAGCAATGGGCACCATGAGAAAGACCAACCTGTACAATTTATACTCACAATCATAGATTAGCTCTAATCACCTTCATATCTTTCTCTTTTAAAGAAGCTTACTCTTGATTTGGCTGGACTTCGAAAAGAAAAAGAAGATTTGCTAAAGAAATTGGAGTCTTCATCTGACATCACAAGCTTGGCTGAAGAAGTTTCTAGAGTAATAGCCCCACAGATACGTGTTACCACACTGGGTCCTTCAAGGAGCATGGATTTGGAAATGAAGCAATTGCAGTGTAAACTAAAGGTGATTATACAGTATGCTAGGTACAAAAACATCTCGTGAATCACTAAATCCTTAAAGGTTTATTTAATTGATTCTAATTTAGTTCAGTAAAGCTCACCATGATAAAATATTTCAAAAGCATGAATATTGCATCTGACTTAGTCATTCAAGGATTCTCTTTCTGTTGCTACTTGATTTTCTCCTTTTCGTAGACTAATAAGCACCGTGGCCTACCTTAGGAGCTCATGGAAAGCAGCCACGATCTACTCTAATCTTCAACTCCTGGCTGCTCACTGTAGTGCCAATTCAAATGTATGTTAATAAACGAAGCCTGCCTGACGATCTGGGAGTAAAGCTGTCCCACTGGTCAGCCTTACAGACCAGGTTGTGGTAACACGCACCTTAATGCCAGTAGCCACAATGACACACACCTTTAATCCCGGTGGCCACCCTAGTTGCCATAGAAATCTGGTAAATGCCTTTAATCCCAGTGGTGCACGCCTTTGGTCCCAGCCCTAGAGAGGACTATAAAACAGGGGAAGACAGCTCTCAGACACAGTCTCGGTATGAGGTCGAGGTAAGAGCCAGTGGCTGGCTGTTTTGTTTTCAGATCTTCAGGTTGAACCCCAATTTCTGACCCTGAGTTTTTAATCGTGCTTCAGCTCACCACATCTTGGTCCAGATGAACAGAAGCCTTTCAAACATATTGTAGCAAGAAAATAAGAATTGTTTTCCTCTATGTTTGCTACTAATTTAATTATTTAGTTGTTGGTTGGAGATCAGAATGCAAATAAGACAAGTGTGGAAATGGGAAGGAAACAAAGAAAACAAACAAACAAAACCCACAAAGAGGGATTGTTCTAATTGTCCACAGCAAGATAAGCTTGGAGGTGGGACTCCTAATCAGAGTTCTTTTTGTTCATAAAGAATTATATCTAACTTCCGGTAATTTGGCAGTAACTTAAAAGTGAGGCTCAACTTAGTTTAAATAGAATTGTAAGAAATAAGATCTATGTTTAAAACAGAAAGTTTGTTTTTCTGCTTCTTAAAAGAAACTGATTATTTTTGCATCCTTAATTATTTTCTTCAGAGAGAATTGCTGGCTGGAAGCTGACAACCGTGGATCTAGCACCATGGCTGTGCTAAGCGTCACTGGCGGGGAAACTCTAGCTGTAGATGCATTGAGAGATTTGTAGTTAGGATAACTGGCTGCAGCAAAGCAGTAGGGTAGCACACTGTCAAACAGATGTGTAGCTATTCTCAGAGTATGGCTTTTTTGTTTTATTTTTTCAAGACATGGTTTGTCTGTGTAGCCCGGGCTGTCCTGGAACTCACTCTGTAGACCTGGCTGGCCTTGAATGTGGAGATTCACCTACCTCTGCCTCTCAAGTGCTGAGATTAAAAGTGTGCACCAACACCGCCCAGCTAGGAGTATGATGCTTTAAGCTGGGTTTACGTGGAATAAATTAGGGTAAAAATGTAAGTCAACCATTGCTTACCCTATCCATTAGTAATAATCAGCCATGAAACTTCCATTAATTTAGCTCCTTCTTAGACAGCACCTTGAGACGGTTTTTACATGGAGAACATGCTAGAAATGTAAAGGAAAATTATACACCTTTCAGAGCATGTGCATTCTCTTAAGATGTGTTTTCCCCAGGAATATAAATACGGTTTATAAATTGTTTCAGTGTTTAGGCTTCACGTACCTGAAGATGGGGCCAATACACTTGTCTTTAATCATATCCTGTAGAGATGTTTAGTTACAGTTCTTTTATATAGGCTAAGTAGTCTTGTTTAACTTTCACCAAGATAAAATATACTAGTAGAGCCAGTATCATCTGACTTCTAAATATGTTTAGTTGTAATACTTTAAGTTGAGCTATATTTGACATATTTGATTTTGCTTGCTACAAATGTTCCAACAATTAAAATTTGAAATGTGGTCTAACATAATTTGCTCATATAAGTATCTGTGAGATAAGATATTTGCATTATACTTTTACCTGTGTATAAATAAATATGCCTAGTTTCAGAAGGGAAGTGAGACAGAAAGGGAAAGCATAGAAGGCATGAGCAGCTGTGTGGTTGCTGGAGTCTGGACGTTTGAGCTCACTGTCGAGAGAGAAAAAGGAGAATGTTTACTTTCATCCTGTTTTAGGTTTTAGTATAGATATTTTTCTGGAAGAAATTTAAATATGTATTACTTTCTACTACTAAAAATTTGTTTCAATATTCTTTCAAATTAGTTTACTGAGACTGCTATAAGAAAATACCACTATTTTCTAGCTGGCTTTAACATTTCAGTCAGAGCTGTGGCGCACGCCTTTAATCCCAGCACTCTGGAGGCAGAGGCGGTGGATCTCTTTAATCCCAGCACTCTGGGGGCAGAGGCGGTGGATCTCTTTAATCCCAGCACTCTGGAGGCAGAGGCGGTGGATCTCTGTGATCTCCAGCACTCTGGAGGCAGAGGCGGTGGATCTCTGTGATCTCCAGCACTCTGGAGGCAGAGGCGGTGGATCTCTGTGATCTCCAGCACTCTTGGGGCAGAGGCGGTGGATCTCTTTAATCCCAGCACTCTGGAGGCAGAGGCGGTGGATCTCTTTAATCCCAGCACTCTGGAGGCAGAGGCGGTGGATCTCTTTAATCCCAGCACTCTGGAGGCAGAGGCGGTGGATCTCTGTGATCTCCAGCACTCTTGGGGCAGAGGCGGTGGATCTCTTTAATCCCAGCACTCTGGAGGCAGAGGCGGTGGATCTCTTTGAATTCGAAGCCAGACTGGTCTACATGCTGAGTTTCAGTACAGCCAGAGCTACAGTAAGACCCTGTCTCAAAACCAACAAACAAACCAAAACGTTGGTTTTCTTAAGGGTCTGCAGGCCAGAAGAGCAAGATGAAAGTGTTGACTTTTTTCCCTCTTCTGTGTCTTTAGGAACAAGTTTTCAACATGCATATTAAAGAACAGGATGGATGTTTTAGGAAGAAATATTTAGAGCAGAGCAGAGAGAGAGAGAGAGAGAGAGAGAGAGAGAGAGAGAGAGAGAGAGAGAGAGAGAAAGAGAGAAAGAGAGAGAGAGATCCCAGCACTTAGGAGTCAGAGGTGGATGTCCAAGTTTGAGGCCAGCCTTTTCTACAGAGTGTGTTCCAGGACAGCCAGAGCTACACAGAGAAACTCTGTCTCAAAAAACAAAAATAAAAACAAAACAAAGTGTGAAAATGTTAGTATGGATATAAAATTGGAACATAAAAGGTCAAGGGGACCATTGAGAATAAAAGTAAACATATTACAATAGTCTCTAAAGGCCGTGTGACACTATATAGTGTGGTTATTAGTAATATACTGTGTATAATTCACATGGATATTATTAACTAAATTAGGGATCATTCCAGAATGATTTGTTTTGTTTTGTTTTTTAGAAAGAATTTAATATAAGTACAGTTTTAATCTTTTGTCAAATTCACTATTTTGAAGCAATTTATTCTGGCAATGTTATAAATATTACATATCACTATAAATATGCAATATGCCCCATTGAATTATTTGAGTTTTAAAAATTCATATAAAATTAAAATTATTTGAAAATTTAAATTTACACATGCTACATTTAAAGTTGGTCTGATGAAATTAACTTGTATTTACCTTAATAATATCATCTTTTCAAATTAAAAAAAATTATCACCAAGCATTTAAATTGAGGGATAGTTATAATAAAAATAATTTATTGTAATTTTGAACTATTAGTGAGAAATTGATGAGATGGCTCAGAGTAAAGATGCTTGTATAGAAACCCGATGTCCTGAGTTTGAGCCCCAAGAATTAAATAGCAGAAGGAAAGAACCGCCTGCTGCAGGCTATCCTGTTTCGCCTACAAAGGCACCGCGTGCACGAGTGTACACACACACAAGAAATATTAGTGTAACTTCTGTTTAACTATTTTTAAATTGCAGCTTATTATTTTCTATTTGTTTTACACTTTCTGAACTTAGAAACAGATGTGTTAATTTGAGTACGTATTAACATCTTATGAATGGGTAAACTAAAATACCAACAAGACTAAGTGGAGTTTCAGATTAGATCTTTAACTGAAACTCAAGTCGAGGTGCAAGCTAGCTGTTTTGATACTGTGGCTTCCGGATCCCTAGGTGTGAATAACAAGGAACGCCTCAAATACCCAATCCACTTTGAAAAATCCAGTAACTGTGAATAAATCCTTAAGTGATAATATACTACTTTTTAGTAAGTTCAAGCAAAGTGGAATGCAGTTTTAATAAGATTTGCTCATCCAGCGTTCTTGAACAGATTGTCTCACATTTTAGCCAACTACAATTTAGTGTGCATCATTTCTTTCCTGTTCACTCCTGGGCTTGTCGTATGTTTGCATTCTTAGTGTTTGTGTGCCAGGCTGGAAGATGCAGCACAGCCCTCACACCCGATTCTCTCAGGCGCTCAGCTGGCTGTCAGCTGCAGCACCTCAGTGCCCTTCGTGTGCCCTTGAAACTGCCTTCCTGTGAGGTGATTCAGGATGGCAAAGGCAGAAGCCCCCAGGCTTTGAGGGCTGAAGTTTAAACTTCGCTTTAGCCATGTTCTCTTGGTGAAAGCAATTCAAACATGAGACCAGATCCGAAGAACTGGCAAACAGCTGCCATGCTTTGTAGGGGAGCAGCAAGTTTTCTGTGGTAAAATTTAATTCATTACAGCTTGTGAGTAAATCTATCATTTATTTTAAGTGATCTTACTGAGCCTTTAATACTCTAGGTTACATAATTTCATTTTACTCCCAGCAATTCCTATTTCCCACTAAAATGTTTGAGTCCTATACTATTGCTCATATTCCTGTATGGTCTGGCAGGCCTTATAATAATTTTGCTATAAATATGTTATCCTTATGTGAAATATAAAAACAAGTAAAATCCTGACAGTACATCTTGGTCATTGTTAGCATAATTAAACAAATGGGTCACTCTTTCTCAAAGCAATGCCTCTTGTCTTGGATCAAGATGGAAAGGTAAATGAAGTTTATTTATTTTTTCCAGAATGCAACTAATGAGCTCACTAAACAGTCATCCAATGTGAAGTCTCTGAAACTGGAACTCCTAGCGAAAGAAGATCACATAAAGGAGATGCATGAAAAGTAGGCTTTCCTATTTCTATCTATTGTATTTGGTGCCACCTAGTGGTTGTCCTGTCTCCTTACTAGTCCACTCCGAGAAAACAATGCCAGTGTTTCACAACAGAATTTTACTTTTTAAGATTATGGGTTTTTCTTAGAACACTTGTAATGATTTATTTATTCTTATTTTATGTGTATTGGTGTTTTGTTTGCTTGTGCATCTGTCTGAGGATATCAGATCCCCTAGAACTGGAGCTACAGACAGTTTTGAACTGTCATGTGAATCCAGGTCCTCTGGAAGAGCAAGCAGCAAAGGCTTTTAACCACTGCTCCATCTCTCCAGCCCTTAAGATCATGTCTAAGCCTACATAATATGGAATTTTAAAGACTACAACATATAGCATGATTGATGACCATCTGGTAGCTATTTTTAATTCGAGTAAAATATTAAAACTAAAACTAGATTTTACTTAGCATAATTGAAATAAATATAAATTAATGACTTTAAATAAATCTACAATTGTGAGTTCTTAAACTAAGAGATTATATAGATTGGTACTTGTCTAGAGTTAATTCCTAGGTTTATAAAGCCAAAGTCAAATGTGGAAGTTTTGTTTATTTATAAAATAGCAAGGGTTCCTTTGTATATATCATTTTAAAGGAGTTTAAATACCCTTTCATGCTGAGTGAAAGTGTTCCTCTTTCTCTGCATTTGCAACGTTAGTAAAGCTTTCATGCGATGATATGTTTAGATAGAACACACCGTTGATAAATTTCTCATTTGCCTACTTGTAGGCAGAATTATGAGTGAGGCTATACTTAGCATGATATTAATAAATAAAACTTAGACAGAGGATTGATAGCTGAGTGTAGTGGCTTGTACCTATAATTCCAGTGTGAGGAAGACCGAAGCAAGCGGGTTGCCAAAAAGTTGAGACCAGCCTGGGCTACAGTGCAAAGCCCTCTCTCCCCAAGTCCTCCAAATAAAATACATTCTTATTTTTACCTGAAAATGCCTCAGGTTAGAGATCAAAGGCAGTGTTGCTTAGTGGTCACTGTTGAGGAGTCCAGGGGAAAACACTGAGTCCTGGGTCCTTTGTCCACTGGCGCTACACTTGTATCCAATAGTCTTAAATTATGAAGGTCCTCTGAAAAATAACTCAATATACAGAAATTTATAATAACAGCTATGTATAAAAGGATCTAATTCTTCTTAGCTGTTGTCACTCAGATCCTCAGCATATTACAAGATGAGGAGTAGATTTCACTGAAGTTACCATTTTATAATAATCGCCATCTTAACCTAAACTGACAGGTGAGTTCAATCGCAATTACTGAGTTAAACAGTGTCTAATTTTAGTTCCTTTGCATCTTATAAGATTTTACAATTTTACCCAAATTACAGTATTGTTTCATAACATCGCTAGAATTTTGGGTATCTCTGTCACTTTATTTCTAAGCAATTCAAAAATGTAATTTAAGTATAATCTAAGTTTTTATAAATTATATAAATTATATTGATCTCAGTTAATCATCCTTTTACTATAATGCAAATATGTAATAGTAACAAGTTCACAAGCAGATTATGAGTTTTAACAAAACATAATACTTAGGTACTTATTTCTTTTTTTTTTTTTTATTTTTATTTTTCGAGACAGGGTTTCTCCGTAGCTTTTGGTTCCTGTCCTGGAACTAGCTCTTGTAGACCAGGCTGGCCTCGAACTCACAGAGATCCACCTGCCTCTGCCTCCCGAGTGCTGGGATTAAAGGCGTGCGCCACCACCGCCCAGTTTAGGTACTTATTTCAATGCAGTTCTATTTTACTAACATAGTGGGATTAAAATCAGATTTTCAAAACTACCAGTAGGCATGACCATGGATACAGTGTGTCAGGATATTTCTACCCCTGTTAAAGTCTTTTCTCCTCTAGGACATCTCGAATGGAGAGAGATATAACCATGAAAAGACACCTGATCGAGGACTTGAAATTTCGACAGAAAGTAAATTCCGAAAGCAATGAGAGTTTTAATGAAATGTTAGAAAGTCTTGAAAAAAAGGTGCCAGTTTTTTTTGTGTTTGCTGAGAAATTATTTTTATTGCTTTAATTTTAACATAAATATTCAGTACTAAACAACTATGTAAAATACTTGCAAGATTTATATTGACAGTTATAACGTTATGCTATTTTTATTTGTTTGAGAATTTAAGACTCCAAAATTCCACACATAATACACACAAAGTCTGCCTGTTTGTGTGCTGTCCTGCAGGAAGACATTTAATTTTTTTAAAAAAATTCTAGAAATTTTGTTATATATAATGATGTCCTATTTATTATTTTACATTATTTAAACCTACAGTTTATAAGGAGAAAATCAGGTTAATGCGCCAATGTAACTATTATGCCAAATTAGTTTATTTTACTTAGAATTGTTTATTTATTAATGCCCTTAAAAACTATATTTTTTTCTTTTATACACTTAATTTAGTATACATGAGAGAGGAGGTTTTTTTTTAAGGTAGTTATATAATATATGACCCTAAACTAAAAAGGGTTTGTTTAAAATTCTTTTAAATGCTATGCAATGGGCAAAAGCTTTCCATTTTTTATTTCTATTGATGCTTTGCCTGTATGTATGTATGTGTGCCACATGCATGCCTGGTATCCATGTAGGTCACAGAGGGTGTCAGATCCCCTGGAGCTGAAGTTGACACATGTGGGCCCTGGGGACTGAAGCTGCGTCATCTGCAAGAGCAACACGGTCTTTCAACCGCGCCCTCTCTTCAGCCCCCTGACTTCACTCTCCCTTCAGTCATTTCCGGTAGAGCTTATTTAGATGATCATTTCTTTAGTGGCATTAAATTCCAAGTGAAAACATTTCTTCTGTTGTTCTTTGAGCTGTGTAAAGAAAGTTGCTACTATTCTATTATACATATCATGCATTTTATGACATTTTAGTTTGGTTATTGACTCAAGAATTGTTAGTTTCTTCATAACAGGAATACTACTACAAGTAGGCCACTTGAATTTGATAGAATTGTTGAGACAGTGAATACAATTGGACTCAGTGTCTGAGGAAACAACACACGGTACTACACTAACACATTTACTAACAGTAATCACCTCTCCACTTGTACTGCAGGTGAGGACACTAACTGAAGAATGTTCCAACAAGAAAATATCAGTTGATTCCCTAAAACAAAGACTTAATGTTGCTATGAAGGAGAAGGCACAATATGAACAGATGTATCAGAAAACTAAAGAGGAGTTAGATAAAAAGGTATGCTTCTGCACATTCAGGAGGAGATTCAAATACAGGGAACAATTCTCATTTTTAATGCTGTCATCCCTTTTCTCCCTAAATCAACATGAACTGCTGATAACACCACATAATTTTAGACAGCATTATATCACTACGTGAGACACCACCAGACTTTGTTTTTACGTTAATGATTGTGCTTTATTAGCAAAGTAAAGAAAAACAAGGATTACCTTTACCCCAAATAAAAGTAATTTGCAAGTATAGAATAATGAAACCTTTTTCTTGTCTGAGCTGTATAACTTGTGTTCCTACTATGTTTATGAAATATTTTTCTATTTTGTGAATGTCACCTGTTGCAGGAACTTAAGCTGAGTCTCCTCATCTCAAAAATAAATGAAACAGAAACAGCAATGGCACAGATTGAGACAGCAGCATCAGAACAGCTCCAAAGCTTAGCCCTGCAGAGCGAACAGGTCCTGGAAGGTGCGCAGAAGAAACTGCTGGCAGCCAATGAAAAACTAGAAGAGTTCACCACCTTTGTGAAGGTTTGAGCCATTGATGCCTTACTCACCTGCACTTACTTCAGGCAGAGGCCTTGTCCTCCTCCTGAGGATTTGGCAGAAACATCAAGTTCCTTGCTTTTAGTAGTGATGTTATTGTTCGGAATGATCTCACTGTGTATATATATATATATATATATATATATATATATATATATATATATATATATACAGCTGAGCTGAGCTCAGTCTGCAGATTCTCTTGCCTCTACCCCATGAACATTACAGGTATGCTCCTGGCTTTCTTCATGCTTCACAAATCCACAAAACCTTTCCTCCTACCTCATAGACACAATGTTCAAAATTTCTCTGTAACAGAATTTATGGTTTGTTTAAAATTATTCACCCCATTGTTAATATTTCTTTCTTAGTTTAATAATGAAATTATAGTAGTCAAGTAATAAAGATAGATTTGAAATGAATTAAGTCATTTCCACCCTGTTTAAAAATCACCCAAGCAAGGACAAAGATACTTTCGTGTTCAGTTAAGCCAGTGAAACAGCAAAAACAGGCGAACATAAAGGCCACTGAAATGTCTGCACACTCGTGCTGGCCCAGTTGTATTATCTAGATGCTACCTAAACTCTGAAGAAACCCAGAAAGATTTATGAATTGGCTGCACAAACAACCTACTAAGTGGTGATTGCTGGAGGAAGGGAAGATGCATTGAGCACCCTTCCTCCGTTACCTGTAGCAGCTGAGGAGATGTTCTGGATTCAGAACCAGCAGTCCCTGAGGCCAGAGAGCCTGTGATGGTTCTGCCCTCTTTAATCCCCTGTGCAGTGTCCATTACTCCATTCAGTGTCTTTTATTGTTGTCATGTAGTTAGTAAGCATCTCTCACTGCTAGCTAAACCATGGTGATGTCCTTAGTAGCAGGAACAATGTCTTATTAATCTGTATCTCCACAGCATGTACTGTAGTATCTCGAAAAGAACAGGCATGTAATAATGATCACTAAATTAAGTTTGCACTGGAAATGTGAAATCTTTATGGTAGTCCTCCTGACCTTCAGTGTTGTCTCTGAAATGATTTGCAGTGGGAAAGAAAGCCTGTTCTTCCTCCCACCCCCAACCACATTTCACTCTCTTTTTCAGTCCTTGTTGAGCAAGGGCTCCTTCTCCTCCTCTCCCTGCAGATGGCATGAAAGGCAGCATCGAGAATGCAGAAGCAGGGCTGAAAGGGAACACTGAAGGCAGTCATATTGCCTCAGTAGGTGTGCATTTTCCACTTATGAACTCTTCATAGAATAAAATTTTAAACGACTTTCTATAATGTTATATTACCATTCACTTCCTTCTTTGCCATGACCCACCATATTTTGAATCACTCATTTGCACCTCACTCTGTTGGCTGGAGAGATGGCACAGTGGTTAAGAGCACTTGCTGCCCTTTGCAGAGGATCTAAATGCAGTTCCCAGCACCTACACTGAGCTGCCCATAGCTGCCTCCAACTCCAGCTACTCAAGGACATACTGATCCTTAAAGGTGACATACTGGTCCTTTTGTACTAACTGACAATGATGTAACTGATAAATGAATTTGAGATTGTTACAGATCCATGGATTTTTAATTTGAATAACATCTTAAAGAATATAATATAGGCTAGGCATATTGATGCCTTTAATCCTAGCACTCCGGAGGCACAAGCAAGAGGCTCTCTATTAAGTATAAGGTCAGTCTGGTCTACATAGGGTCCAGACCAGCCTGGCTGCACAGGGATAGCCTATCTCGACAGAGGGTGTCATATAGCCCATGTGCAGTATTCTTTCAGAATTGTTACACTTGATTTAAGACACTTAGTATTTAGATCACCAACTTCACAATCATGTGATCTCTTGTGCTTAAACAAAATACACAATATTGGCCCTGAACCCACTGAATCATGGTCCCAATTGGTAGAACCTCAAATCTGCATTTGACAGATTAAGTGAATAGGACAAAGGTTTTAAATGGGAGCTAGAGAGATAGCTCAACAGTTAAGAGCACTAGTCTTATCAGCAGAGGGCATAAACTCAGTTCCGGGTACCCACGAGGAAGTTCATAACTATCTGTAAATCATGTTCCAAGGGATCTGAAATTATCTTCTGGCCTCCAAGGGCACCAGGCACACCTGTGGTACACAGACTTTTGTGCAGAAAGTTATAGAAGCATTGCCTTCTGCTTAACCATTGACAAAACCATATCTGTTTATCATTTAAAACTTAAAAATTCCCAATTTCCAATGGTTAATTTGAAATTTGTTTTAATTGCATTTTATGATGGTGTGTGCTTGATACTAACATCATGTCTCTTTTTAAGTTTTATTAATCAAAGGCTACCAGAAGGCAAATACAGAAGTATTGGTCAAGACTGGGAAGTTGGGTCTTAGTTAAGGGGGACCAGCCTCTTCTCATCTTTACACAGGTGACTTAGGACTTGAAAGAGTTGCTCAGGGGCCACCAACTCAGATATCTCACCATCTGTGACTTCCCACTCTTCTGTGTTAGCTGTATTACATCTAAACTATCTTGTTATCAGTTTTAGACATTTTAAAACTGAACATTATCCTGCATCTGTACTCTACTCTTTCTCACTGTTTTCCAACTTCTACCCATATTGATTTTGTTACTGACATTTCTTAAAGTCTACATCCCCCCAGAAGGACCTGTTATCTTTGTATCCCCTTTCAGAGTTAGCTAGGACCTTCTTCTGTATGGATCTTTCCTATAATCTTGTATCCAAGAGGACAGAGTTCACCTCTGCTCCATACTAGCGTTGTGATCTCAGAAAACTAATATAATTCTCTGTTCCTTAAGTTTCCCTCTCCATAAGATTATAATAATAGAGCATACATGGGGTTAGGGTTTGAATAAATCATAGCTAAAAGTTCATAATGGTGTTTGACAAATAGCATGAACTATTATTACTGATAGTGATGGTAGGAGAATAGTTAGCTTCCAATATGTTATGGTGTGTACAGTTAAAATCTAATTATAAACTTTTTCAATTGTGTTTTGTTTCAGGTATATTATATAGCCACCTTGGGGGCAGGGACATTATCAATAATTTCTTTATAGTACTGTCAACCAATAAGGCTCATTACATTCTTAAGGAATTGATCAGACAGACACACATATACATGGTGCCAGGATTATAGCCACTTTTCCTGTTAAAACTGTAAAGGCAAGAGCTATTCATAACTATATATAGTTCTTATGTAGATCATAATCACAATGCATTCTGCACAAAGCTTGTTAGATATCATGTACACTAAACTACTTAATAAATATTATCAGTAGTTTTAATAGTACTAATGTTTGTTCTGGTCCTGTTGTGGAATCTGTGTTCCCTTTAGTCTTTTCGTTTATTTGTAGGGCACAACCAGATTATGGGAGAGGTGGAGTGGCCATCTGCTCTAGATCTAGTCTTGAATATGGAATTTTGCCCTGGGGTGAAATCAAGTGCTTTGAGCATCTGGGCTGGATATGTGTGGCAGAGCTGAGGCTTTGAATTCTCCTAATAACTGGATAAAACACACGAGGGAAATTTCTAGAAGTATTTGCTCAGTTTGAGTCAGCCTTGATATATAGGCTTGTTAATGTGCTCATATGTGAGAGTCATATGCCAAGCACCATTTTCTCAGCTTTTGTTGTCGTTAACTAAAAGTATATACCAGCGAAGAGCAGTCTTAGCTGGAGAGTGGGCATGCTTTCATTATCAGTGTGTGCTTCTGTTTGGGAAGATTCAGTAGGTGCTCAGTGCGTATGCACTTCTTCTTTAGTGTGCTCGTTTGTCGAACATTCCAAATTTACATTTATATTTGCAATGCTTAATACTTAGGCACTGATCTGTTCTCTTAATTATGAGTGTTAAACACTTCTGTAATAAAGTTCACCCCAAATTCACACTTAATCTGTGTCTCACTGTAGGATAATTAGAGCTTTGAAAAGGAAAAGTTCTTATTACGAATATATTAACAGGTGAACTTGAAACTATATAAAGTATACCTCAGTAAAGCTGTTTATATACTGTTGAGACACAGGTACATTTCTGAATTTCTTGTCAACCTAGCAGCACCTTGGGATTCTCCTAGAGAAGAAGGCCAATCACCTGACACATCCCCCACCTTGGGCTGCCAGAACCAGGATTTCAAGCCTCTTCACCAATTTTCAAAAAGCTGCTTTAAATGCATTATTTCTTCAGGAAACCATGATAAGGATGGTGGCTCTAGTGTCTCCAAGTGGTCCTGCCCCACATTGAATTTCACTGGAAGGAAAGTGCAGTCAGTCATCAGTACGGTGCAGCTCAAGAGCGTATGTTGTCGGCTAATCCAGTCAAGGCCTGTGGGGAAGAAAGACTAGAAAACATTAAGAAAATAAAGCCAGAGAACTAGATATACTAAGAGCGCACTATAATAGTTTGCTGCTTCCTGAACATACAGTGCATCGTCATAACTGAAAACAGACTAGCTGGAAGTGGACATGTCTGTCCAAGGAAGTGTTCTCAATTTGAAAATGTCCTCTGATGCTGGGACAATTGGTGAGCATCATGAAGGACAAGGAAGTATTTCATATTGCTATTGGCTAATTTTCAAATAGGAAAGTGGTCCTAACATGTTCCTAACAACATAGTAAGCAAAACTTGAAGGAAGTGTGGAAATACACAAAGAAATTGATGAGATCCTAGTAAACCCTGCTTTCCCAGAGTGTGTTTGTTCTATAGTATACTCAAGAATGAGTAATTCAAAATAGACAAAATATAAAGATGCTTTCTTTTCAAATTATCTACAGCATTCTCAAATGCTGTTTTACATCTTTACTCAACAAATTCATAAAGGCAAAAATTATTTTCACTATCTACCATGAATATAGTATATATAATTATGATTTAACAAAATAGTGTTAAATATATCTCTACCTAAATATATCTACCTAAAAATTTTCAAATTCTGTGATTTAGGACTAAGGTGGCCCTAAAACTTTTATTTTCTAAGATAGTTTCAAA